CAAGGAAAGGGAAGCATCTAGGCACCCTGTAGATGAAAAGCATGTGTAAAGAAAGTGAAAAGAGGAGTAGAAGGGCCAGTCACATGTACACAGCACCTGTCTGGTGAAGCCCTGCACCTGATCACCAGCCCAGCCTGCCTTCTAATTGAACTCAATTTCTAAATATTTTTCATGCTGGGGGGAGGCCTCTCTATTCTACATGCACATGTGTGTATGGAAGTCTTAAGTGCCCACATCTGGACAGGAAATCATGACTCCCGGGGATATACACACACCTGTGGAGCCAGCAACTGCAGAGACCAGACATTGGAAATCTCACTGCCAGCAGCTGCAGAACGGCCTACAGCTTTCCATGCACCTGGCATGTCAGCAGCTGAACAGACTAGAGTGTATGCCTGTTCTGTGTGGATGTATACACTAGCTTGTGCGCAATCACCGGCAAACATCAAGCTTGAAAACTGAATATCGCATGGTTGTAAGCCAGAGCCAGCTGCTGGAGAGACCAGAGGATCCGAGAGGTTCTCTGGAAGTCAGCTGCTGGTAAGATCATATGCCTTGATCAGCTAGTGTGGCCATGAAACTAGGTGACTGGGAAACCAGGAGACGCAGAAACTAGCTACCAGGTTCCCTGCATGTCTACATCCAGCTCCTGGATGGATCCTCTGTATGTAGACACATAGACGCATGTGAAGGGAATCTGGGTATCAGCAACTGGAGCAGGATTACAGTGTTCAGGCAGTCATATGCCCAGGTACCAAAAACCTGGGAGACTGGGAGATCTAGGGAGCTGGCTACCCGAAGACCAAGGTCAGCTACTGGAGAAATCCGTATTGTTCATTTGTCTCTCTGTACATATGTATTTTGCACTAGTGGACTTTGCCCTGAGTCCTAAATAGCCAGAGGGGAACAGAATGTAACTGCTGGTGCTGTGAAGGTCGCGTGAGTGCTGTTTTTTTCTGCCTGTGTTGACCTATGCTACCAGCCATACAGCCATACACACATACTGTGTGTATGTACTGAGAATCTTGATACGTGATAGACTTGAGGACATGGAGCTGCAGCAGCCCTGCATCTATCAGACTTTCAGAGTCAGCAACTCCCATCAGCAAGTGAAAGATCATCAGATTAATCTGATGCAGTTTTCAGAAGATGCCATTAAAAATCGACAAGGCATTTACAGAGATGCAGGTATGTAAGAAAAAGTTTATTCTAAAAGAACGCTTCACTAGTATCTACCCCTAGTAAGATTTACAAATGAAAAACATCAGAGGTGAAACAGGACATCAGCTTGCCTGTCCACAGCTTAATATATCTTCACCTTAGTAATTTAATTTCTAAAGCAAACCAGAAACAAGCAGTACTCACTAAAATCAAGGCAGGTGATAACTACAAAGCATTCATTGAATTATTCTCTTGCTTCCTGTTAACTATGTACACTGAGGCTCCCTTACTGCAGTTTTACAACACTAAAATCTGTACATGGAAAAGCTGGAAAGCACTGTTTCAGTATTAAAGACTTCATCCAATCTTTGAACCTGCTGGACAAACTCAGCAGAAAACCCCACCCATTGACATAAAAAAATATATATATTCAACTGATAAAAGAAGCCTCATTTGTATTCCACTTCAAAAATATGTCCATTTCTCAGAATTGCAAAATTAAATAATGAATTAGAGTATTTATTACAAGAAATTTGTGATGGCATTTTCAAGATATTAAGCAATTGCAAGTTTTGTGCCCTTATAATCAGATCAATACTTGATCATGCTTAAATACAACCACTTCAAAAAATATTTTCTTTTGCACCAATGTTCACATACATAACACAAATAATTTAAAACCAGTGTATCAAAAAAAGATTTGAAGGTAGCCAGCCGTTCAAGGGCCATTACATTACAGCTAAAAATTTTTTTTTTCCCCCCATGCAATACTTAAGCAACATAAAATGAGCAAAAAAAAGGCCATAGTACACAACAGGGATGAAACCTCCAACTTCCTTTCTATTTTCTTAAATGTAGAGAATCAAGGTTAAAAGCTATCCCAATGCCCACAACTACCTGCAGATGGGCCAAAGAGCATTCAGAGCAAATAAGCTAGCAGTTTTAAAACATGATCTGATTAAAAGCAATACTATACCCTAAATCATGAAAGAAAAAGCTCTTTCCAGAAACTAAGAGAGTCCTACAGCAATAAAGAACTTATTGTTTAAATTTAACCAAAATAATTCAAAACACAGAGGTCTCTGAACAGGACAAGACACATACCTCTAAAGTCTTTAAGAGCTTTGTGCACAGTAGCTTCCCATGCAGGTGAATATCCTTAGTCTGAAAATAAACTTGTGCCACTCTAACTCAAATGCCTAGGGGAACCACAAATCCTGTGTCATTTAACTCTCCACTCCATACTTAAGTCCGAAGACCACACTTCCCATAGGAGAAAGTTTAAGGAGGGAGGGGCACTTCTTACCATCAGTAATATTATACTTAAGCCAGAGACTGAAGCTACCATTAACAAAGAAGATTATGTAGAGCTGAGAAAATGGTAGGACTTAACACTGTAGTGGAAAATTCAACTTAAAATCACAATCAGAAAGAACAGAAATGGACAAAGAAGACATTTTTGGAGACTTTCATACCTGTCAGTTGATGATGGGCTGACAGCAGCTGATGCCTCATGTGGGTTTTCTGCTGGCTTGTCTTCTTTAGGAGCACTCACAGGTGCAGATTCGCAAGCAGCTGCATCTGGTGCTGGTGGTGGAGGGACAGGAGCTGGCACAGGGGAAGCAGAAGGGTTTGGGACAGTGACTGGTATAGGAGCTGCAGTTGTTGAGCTAACAGTGGTAGTAGCACTGGATTGCTGAGTCGCTCCTGCTGTTGCTTTGGGCTGTAGAGAACATATTGATTAGGTTATGTTAAGACCTTTTCTGTCTGACGTCGCTGCCTCAACATCAACCATAATATTACATCATTACACGACATTAAATCTATAATGCCTTCACTGCGTTCAAACAGGCAACTGATCGTGTCACTGAAGTGCCTAGACATCTGACACAATTTGAGTCCAAAGTGAAATGCAAAGTTCTAAATATTTATAGATAGCAATACTTTAAATGTAAAAACAACCATGTGTTTTCCAAAGCACATTTTTCAGAAGAAACTAAAACAGCTATCAAAAGATACCTGACAAGCATAATGAAGTTTTTTCACCACTCATATATGGAAAACACTGATTGATAAAGACAGCATTTACATTTCATTATGAATACTATTTGCTGGAAAATGAGATGCAAAATATTTAACTTAACCTGCAACAAATTTTACTTGTGCACTCTTCACATCCAAAGCAATACTCAGTGAGCACCAAAATTGTAGCACAAACAAGGACTCCCAAATCTACAGCAACAAATTTAGAGTGGCAATATTTGCATATAATTGTAATTGAATCTTCACATCTCTATTGGAAACATGGATCTTGCTTGGATGCCATATTAATCCTACTACATAGAAATTACACTTTTCAGAGTGCATGTACCTTCAAGCTAAAGAATTACCTTTCTGAAAGCTGTATCACTGTAGTCCCTTAGCTATTAATATCTTTAAGGATTGACAAAGCTGACCCCCATCTCTGCCTTGCCAAGGGAAATAGCTGACCTTTAACAAAACACAACTACTTATTCAAGGTGAATCACTTTCAGACAATGTTTACTTAAACTAGGAAAAATGTATTTCCTCTTTTTGTCTGAAAGGAAAGGAGATTGAGAATTAATACCTTCCAAAATAATGGGCACAATCAGCAACATTTTAAGAAGCAGTCAAAGAAAAACACTGAGACACATCTGAGCCTCAGGCAAAGTTAGTGGCTGTGCTTATATGACAAGGCATTTCTTACCCAGAAAAGTAACAAGAAAAGTGAACTAAGCTTATAGAGTTAACAAAAAGATCATAAAACTGAAGAAGTGCCCAAATATGAAACACAGGTCCTTTAAATAATAAAGTATTGCATTTAGCAACTCTTCATGAAGGTCTGTGTTTCTTCTGATATCAACAAAATGAAGTCTGTACTACGAAATCCCATCTGCATCTGTTTTCTGGTACTAATAAATGCCTCTTCTTCAGTCAAATCACAGACTAGAACACTTGTTTGTTCAGGAAGACAGAAATAACATTTAAGCTCAACAGAGAATCTAATGAGCCAATATCAGAGAGAAGTGAAGGACAACTGAATATACAAATTTTTTAGACAGAAGAACCTTTTAACTCCAAAATTAGCTTTGTGCTGCAAGACAGAGGTGAAAACAGATTTATTCAGATCTCAAGGGTCTGCAATACCTATATATATAATAGAGATACTTCAAATACGTCAGTCATTCCCTTAATTTTGCCACTGCAGTAATTCAAAACTCACAGGTTCATTGATTGGCATATGTATCATTTCTCTACTAGTTTAAGCTGTTGAGTTTGACAAAAGAAACAGGCATGAATTTTGAGAAGCAACAAGGCAAGACTGGAAGAGTTTGGTATAGAGGATTCAGTAGAAAACTACCTATCTTCCCCTTTTACCAGTATCACTGGAAAAATAACACAGAGACAAGAAAGAAGAAACAGTTAAGTCGGCCACTGGCAATTTTTTTCTTTGATGTAAATATCCTGCACAGAACAGCAATAACAATAGACATCATAGACAAACTAGGACTATAAAGCAATACTTTGTATCTATTCACCCAAGCATTTTTATTAATTTTTTTTACTTGAGACCAAAACTTTCAAAATTATAGAATTTCACTGGTTTTAAGGACAGGCATATACAATCACTCATCACAAAGAAAAAACAAAACAAAACAATTAAATGAAAGCAATCTCCTTTTCAGAAATAAGTACTACTTACTTTTGTCACCATAACCACGACAAAGTTGTTCTCATCTATTTTGTATTCTTTAAGTGCAGTATCATCATTAAGGATTTTACCTGGCAAATTAAACAGATGAAAATTAAGAAGTTATTTAACAAATCACTAGATTGCCCTGGAATTCCCTCATATAAACATAAAAAACATGTTTTAAGCAGATTTATAAACACTATTAGCCCTCTTAAAAGTGTTTTGGCTGGTAAACTTTGGAAGTAGAGTTAAAAGTAATTTTCCTCTTATGATGTCCACAGTACTGCTAATCTTGAACTCTGTTGTCGTAAGAGTCAAAGATGCTTCAAATAATTTAAAATATAAGGATTTAATCTAGAGAAATATTTATTGGACCTTTAAGACAGGTAAAAAGGCTTTAGCATAAATAAGCTTAAATTAGTAACTTACGCCTGCTTACAATACTCTATACACAGCACGAAAATTCCTTCCTGCTTATTTTCTGACTGCCCTTCAGATGTAGTAAACTATCTAGTTCCCTGCCACACAGTAAGTTTATCTGGATTTGGTAAGTTTGTGACTTTGCAACTTGAACAATTTGTTCTTAAAAGAAGACAAGAGCATTAGAAAATGCTAAAACCATTCCATATTCTGCTACCTTGACTAAGGGATTAGAAAAAAAAAAAAAAAAACCAAGACAAAATCAGAAAACCTGTTTGTTATACTTTTGATGCTTCACTGTAAAGAAATTGAGCAAGGCATAGACGTTATGGCACTTGGAACACAAACCATGTGGCACTGTCCTACTCTCTACTGGTTCAACCAGTCTCACAGGTCAAATGCTCAAGAATGTATTATATGCAGTATAGCATATAGTAGTTAGTACTTGGTGCTGCATCTGACTCTTAGCACACACAGTCTTACCCACAATTTTCTGGTTTGTAGACACTTCAGTGCACTTTTGTCCTGGGTCTTCCCAGGACACACCACTCACAGGGTTTCCGGATTTTACCTTAACACAACTGATCTACGTCACTGCTGATTATTATAACCTTTTTTTAAAAAGCATTTTTAGTAACAATTTGTATATTTTAACCAGATTCAATCAGCATATGACCCTGCTTTTCCAAATAATCTAAAAGTCATTTTAATCACAGTAAAAATGCCAACAATACACTCTTGTATCTCTTGTCCATGTAAAAACAATCGGGTTTTGGATGGTCTTCTATTCTAAAGCTTTTCTTCGCACATTTTCTCAATGTTTGTGAGGATCCCACAACACTGTAGATATATTCTGGCTTATGAAAACACTCAAGTCACAATTCATATTATCTTATGCAACCCTTATTTTTTAGTTATAGAAATATAGTATTAAGAGTATCATGCAGCTATACATACTGCACAAGACTTTCCACCTTGTTCATAATTATTTATTATACATGCAACTTTCACCTTCATGTTCTTTGTGTGCATTGTCTTCACTGAAGGGACATGAAACTTGCTAAGAAACATAGTGAAGTCTATACAAACACATGGAGACTTCAGACTTCTCTCTCATTAGCATCTTTCCATTGTGGCTTTAGCTTATTAGAAGTAGAAAAACAATACTATTTACAAAGCAATATACTGAAGAAGTAAAAAGGATCATATTTCTTTCACTATTTCAGAGGAAAAAGCCCCAGATGGGGTACTGAAACAGAACTTAAGTTACAATGTGAAGAGAGAACTAAAAGCTGGACCTCTGTATTAGTGTTACACTGAATCAGCCAGGTAAAAAACAGTAAAACAATATTGCCAGAAAAAAACCAAACTACGTTAGCTCAAATATATTAAGTTCATGTCTTTCTCTGAAATTAGCCTGCTTTTTGCTAGCACATAGTAGGTTTCAAATTACTTAAAAGTAATGCAAGGATTGTACAGTAAGGATTTGGTAGAGGGTTTCTTTCACAAATACAAAAGAAATAACCTTATTTTAAAATGAGATACATATAGGAGTGCTTCAGCTACACACAGCATAGACTGAACAAAAGATGAGTTACCCATAACATGTCATCTGCTTAAATCCTCATTTCTTGTAACAAAAGTTGTTTCTACTTCACCTAGAATTTCCCACTTAGGACTACAAGATTTGTTATTCATTTGTTTTGGTTTGGTTTTAACCTGTTTCTATTTCAGTACTTATAATCTTTAGATGACTTAACATTCATATCAAAGTCAAAGGACAGAAAAAAATAAAGTAAATTCAGCATTTTCAGAATATCCATTACCTGCATAAATTAGCTTTTGGCCAGCTACCGGAAAAGCATCTTTCCCCCTCTCTAACTCAATCTTCTCTTTCAATGCCTTCACCTAAAGGAAGAAACAGTCTTAATTAAAAAAAAATAATTAAAAAGTTATTTCACAATACAGACCTCATTAAGTACACTTTAGTGTACACATTAAGTACACATTTTTCAGTTACATTTTGATTATGTCAAGTGCATCAGTCTTCCAAAAATGTCACTGTAACCACTTGCTCAGCAGTGTGTTCCTTTCCCAAATTATCTCTTGTGCTTAATCAAATTAGGTAAGGAATTTTCCGGTGAGAAGCTACATATTATAAGTGTGTGAAAAACTTAGAAATTTGGGCAAAAATATTTTTACCTACTGACCCATTTGCCCTCCCTGTTCTTTCTCTGAATGCAGGGGGTGCATAAACTACACACAGCTGATGGCTTTCTTTATGATAAACGCAATTCAGGGACTGACTGTCTTTTTGGTTAAGGTCACCATGGCATTTAACTTAATTCACTGGAATGACCTGAAGCCTTGATATGCAAAGACTTGTGTAAACTATCCAGATGTTAATTTTGTACAAGTAGTTTTCAACTCTTCCCCCTCCCCTGTAATTTCTGGAGCTTTGCATAGCAATTGTAAGCCTACACATGAAAGTGTTTTGCCTTACTTACTTGCTTATGCAGACCACTGACACATAACCCACACTTCCAGAGAACCACATATAACAGCTCAAATGACACTGTGTTAGTCGTCATATATCAGAATGGCTGTATTTTCCAGACAGACTTCATAACACTATGCTGAGGAGATGAAGGATGCACCTATAGAAGCATTTCTGTATTGATACACTCGAAATAATGTTTTAAGACAAACTGCCTGCATACAAAAGTTCATTCTTGCTTCCTGCTTTCCCAATATATGTAAAACAAAGTCAGCCAACCTGTTACAAAGTTACTACTACAAACTAATTCCAGAAGTTTTTTTCCTGAATAGTCATAAGCTTTTTTCATTAAACACTGCCTGTGCCACAAGTAGCTGTAGACAATTATCATTTTGAGGGTGTGTGTGTGTGTGTTCATTTTTAAAGCTGTAGCTCATTAGAAGGGTTGCTTGAGTAGTAAAAACACTGAAACAATATTTCAGGTACCAAATCGCAAATAGTTATGGAAAAGCTGAACTTTGTGATTCTCAGCATAACTGGAATCTGTCATCCACTCCATTTCACATGCCAGTCCTGCTTCCTCGTTTCACTTGATTTCTGTGTTACCAATGTCTTAGCTCTGTGTTACCTTTCCCCTTGGTCTTCACTCATCCCCTTGCTTATTCTCCCTCTTCCATTCAGGTAGTATTTCCATATTTCTTTATTGATCTCTTTACCATGCCAATCCTTTCCATTTGTATGTTCAGTCCAAAAGGGATGAACCAAAATTTAACACTCACAACGGAGCTGCATCTTTTAAGCAGTATACATAAAAAGGAGCGTTTGTTCTACTGTGATTCAAAACCCAGCCTAGGAGGCCTTGCATAATTAATATCTTCTCCAAGCTTACACCTAATATAGGTGATTAAATCACTAGTCACACAAAGATACGTAACAGAAGACACAGCTTTCCTCTATGGGACTACCCCAAAATAGGAAGCCAACTGTTTTTTGCCTCAGCAGATGGAAGAAGAATGAAGCAGACATGCCATCCACCACCTGCCAAAAGCTTTAGAATCAGTCTCTGGCTAGACAATTGCTTTTCCACAGGAAAACTAAGCAGCTCACTGCCAACCACTTGTCTTCAGGCAGAGTAAAACCATTACTCATTTTCATAATTTGCTGATAGCATCATCATTATCTTTCTTTACACAAGTTTGTCCTATCCCTGGATTTACATTTATTTTAAAAGGGTATTTACTTGAAAACTAAAGATATAATTTGTGAATTCCTCCCTAATTACTGATAGTCACCTTAAAACTGAACAGTCTCCTTAGACATGGATAAGCCATCAAGAAGTTTTTCCTGAACTTTAAAGTATTGGATATTTAGGGAAACTCAAGTGTTCTGCACTCACTAGGGCAAATTAACTCCCTGAATCATGTTAAAAGCCTACTATGTTTTCCAATGCCTACTTTTTAATATGCTGCTTACCTATTCATGTATTTAGGCACTTGTTCTAATCCTTTAAAGATGATGTCTCAAAGCTGCTTCTTTATTCAGTCACTGTATGTCATCGATTTGTAATAAATATGATAATGTAATCAGGAGGTATAATCTATTTTGAATGAGAAAATTAAGACTTGCTTCATGTCCACTGCACTCACCCAAGCTACTGGTTTCAAACTTTGTCTACCTCATGTTTCAGTGTTTTGAGTTTTATTCCAAAACACACTCTTTTTCCTAAAAGGAACAAAACCAAAATCTGTTCTCTCAAATAAAATTATCTGAACAACTAACTGTAGTAGTGTAGGTCAGGACACACTAAACACGTGTTAATTACTACACAGTAATTGGATCCATGTGAAAGAGTTACAATATTTACTGTAGCAGAACACTCACAGTCAGAGTGCAACGATCTGTTTGCCTTTGCTGTCCACCACTTGAGTTGCAGCCAGCACTAATCAAAGTGATACCTGTAGTACAACTAACTAACTAGTCCTACAACTAACGCTCCTTCTAAAAGGTTAGGCAGTTCAGGTATCAAAAAGATAACATTACTCATTTCCACAGTAACAACGCTAAATATGCAGTGTCCTCATAGATCCTTAAAATATGTGTTCCTCAAGAAAGCCAGCGCGCAAGATACAAAGCTAAAGTCACATTACATCATTACATTTAGTTTCCTTTAGGGAGAATGAACTCAGCTTCTACTACATGCTGTTTCTGCTGGCCTTATAAAGTAGGTATTAGTGTTAACCTACCTATGAGCTACCATTATCCTGTGTGCACTACTGACATACACTGTCTGCTAGGCTTCTACCCCAAGCATGAATCTTCAGGTTCCACAAAATTACACCCAGGAAAAATAACTCAGCAGCCACAGGTAGTCTCAGTCTCATGGACATGCAAGAGACCACTCTCCAGCTGTAGAATCCCCTTTCCATCATCCAAAAACCCCCTTTGGGTCCCACTCCTGATACAATTTTTATTAATGTTGTGATTTAGGTCAGAACGGACTAAATACAAATTACAGTGCGTTACCTGGATGCATGTGAAGGAGTTTGGTAATAATTGCATTGGTGAATTAGTTCTTCTTAATGCAAGTAACATAGCCAGGTATCATGAACCACAGTGGTGCTGAACATAGGAACAAAGTACACATTTGCTTTTCAAATCAAGGCAATCTTTGGCTAAAGCCTGCAAATATAGCAACAATTTGGAGCTTATTAAAGCAACCAGAAAAAGGAAAAAAGAAAAGGAATTCTGGAGACAGAAGGCCATTAGTTTTCAGTAGTGGTCGTCTTTATTCTCTGTACTTGCTGTATATGTCAATTAGTTTAAGAACAGATCATAAAGTAAATTCAAACACAAACTACTTTAGTTCTCAGACACATTTCTTCAGCTGAGTTTGCAAAAAGCTAAAACAAATTTCAGCTTGACACAGCTCAGCTAATTTACACTATTTTCCTAACTACATCCATAGATACACCGCCCTATGCAAAGGCAAAAATTATTAACATCATTCAAATGGACGTTCACTCTACTGTGACCTTCTGACATTCAATCTCTAACGTGTTATGGTGACTGACAGTAACTTAACAAATAATGAACTCCAAATTGTTAATTGAAAATGCTATAATGTGGTTCAAGTTGTTCCTGAAAAACTGAAACCACAAAAAACAGCCAAGTAACTTCCACAAAATACATTTCAGAACACTGATTAATGCCTCTATACATATTAGTAATTTACATAAGAGAATCTGTCCTATATCAAATGAGTTCACTTCAGTGATCACACTTATTTAAAAGAGGAAATGAAAAGGACTTAAATAGTATAGCTTGACTCTGCAAGAGAATGCAGTCAGCTGCAGTCATCAGCATTTTCCAGTTAGAGGCATAAATTAAAAAAAACACTCAGGCAAAGTAAGTTTTTATACAGTGCCTGCCTGTTCTTTTGGCTTTCATCAATGCCTAGCCTAGGCCACAAACACTTCATTTGCAGAGGGTACAATACTAATTCTCAAAAAAAAGTTAACATCAGACACATCCAATTTAACAGTAACATGCTAGTGGCATAAAATTTCCTCTTGTAGTTCTAACTAGAGTGACTGAAGACTTTGCACCCACTAACGAGAAGATACCTGTGCCCTAATTCTGGCCAACAGAAAAGAATACTTAGGAGCACTCCCTAAATAACCTGTATGTCATCATACATGGCAGTTTAAACCCTTTAAATTGCAAATCTCCCTTTTTCAAGAAAAAAAAATAATAAATGAAAGATGCCCTCTCATTGCTCTTCAGGTAGTGGTACAGTGAGCTGCTGAAACACCATCCTAAGCTTTCCCTGTAGCAAATTATGTCGCTGAGAATCTATACTTCAGCACCACCATCAGCTTAAGGTTATTAAGTGAAGATTAATTTCATGAAAGCACTCTGAGCACATTGATCCCTCAAACCTAGAAAGCAGGTTTAAGATACACAGTCAACTTCAACATCCACATTACAAAACCTCCAAGGCTTCTCTGCTTTGTTCCACTTGATCCGAGTTCAAAATGTATTTGAGTCCTTAGGGAAAATAATTTTTCTTCTGCCCTAGTAATTTTCACAGCAGAATAAAGGGAACTCTCACTTTATGATAACACCTTTAAGAATAAGCATCAATTCATCTGCAACATTCACCCTAAAGATTCAGAAACAGCACGCTTATACACTACAGGGGCCAACTTAACAAGACAAGATTATTTTCTTCTGCCCTCCTACAAATACAGATGTGAAACTCTCATTATTCAGAAACTGTATGGAACACAATGTCCTCAAGAATAGATGCCATGCTATCTGTTTAATTAAGAATTGTAGTCAGTCAACTCCTACCTGAAAAACTAAGGGCTTCCAAAGAAATACCAGTTCCTAACTCCACCCCAGC